GCAAGAGATGTATTTACAAGAATGAAGAAAATATCACTTTTGTCTCTATATATACTACCTAAATAAATAAAAACTATGTGGAAATGTTTTATAAGACATCTAACATGTGTGCCACATGGCCAACTTGTTGGCTATGTTTTAACTTACCAATCACCTACAAATGATTGTAAAGTCAAACCCATATTTATAAAGCTTCTAAGTAGTTATCTACTATGATAGTATCAAATTAATTTACTTTTACATACTTCTATACAACTCCTTTTATGCTCTTAACTATTAATTTCAATATTGATGTTCATAATAGAATTATAAACTTGTATTGAAGCTATTTGGATTCAAATGCTATCTGTAGAATCTACAGACTTCAAATTATAGAAACGTGTTAGAAATATAATTAGAATTAGTAGCATATAAATAGACTATTATATCCATTTACGATTTTGTATTCATGTTCATCTTTTTTTCCTTTAATATCCTTATGTATAGTTGACTTTATTCATTATACAAATACACTCCACTGTAATTGCTATCTTCGCCAATTTATGGTATCATTTATAGTACATGCATTTTCTTACTTTAGTTTTTGAATTCATACTCATTTATGACTGACACTGTACACACAGAGTCGCTTTTTGTCTGAATCCTTCGCTTGTAATTTCCTCCCGTGCAAAAGTCTTAGTGTAACGCCTTTTCCTTGTGCAACGTGCAATGAATCCATCTACACAACGGATCCTCCTTCAGATTGAATGAAAAAAAATCCATGCACAGCTGGTTTTTCATAGTGTTGCTGACCTCGAATTCTGCATTGGAACCGCATTTAATTACACCAAAGTTATCATCATTCTGGTGACGAGTTTACTGGGCGAGTCAATCGAAAATGAGGATTACGGTGGTTGTCGAAATATTCTGTCCTTGTCGAAGGGGGGGGCATCGGAAGAGTTGAGAGGAGCAGGCGTGTTGCATGATCAAATGAAGCATCCACAGTTCTGGATGCATGAGCTCTGAGTGCGAGGCTCCGGCGTCACAATCTTAAGTCTGAACCACAGATTTTCAGAAAGGGAGGGGCAAGGAAGAGGAGTCCAGTGCCATGCACAGCCAAAATCGACAAACGACATCTTCCTGCCTGCTCAGGTTTTCGGCCTTCGTGCAATCAATGGATGTGCTCGGCGATGACCCTGTCAACCGATTCAAGAGAAACTAGCTGTGGTCATGATCCGATGGCACTTCAACAGTTTTTAAACACTGCTTAAGCACTTCGGTTACAGGGTACCATAGAAGAAATCTATTTGTTACATGCCGAATTCTCTCGGGGATATCGAGAGGGAACGGGGAAGTTGTATGGGCAAGACACAAATGTCGCACCACCTCATTGACCGCAATGCCCAAACTCAGACGTTCCAGAAAAGTTGGAGCGCACAGACGGGAGGGATGACGTTTGGACAAGGACCTTGACGAATGGTCTAGATAGAGTTTTTTCAGGCTGAGCTGCGATGGACGTCGGCGTACACAACTTTATTAGACGACTTGCGAATAGTGCCCCCTGTTTGACGAGGAAATGCCTCTGGCTTGAGTCACACTACAGCGGGTGCTGCACCAGAGCTACTTGGTCATCTTCGACTCGTATTTCAAAGGAAATTACGAGTGAAAAACACCCAGCGGCTATCATTAACCCAAAATGCCGGAAAGGACTTTCGAAGACCTTGGAAGACTACCGTAGTCGGGACCAACCTCCCCATAGGGCGACAGACACTACAACCCAATGATAAATCTCAATACAGTCATGTGCTTTATCACCGTTTCTGACGAGCAGTGAGCACTTCACCATGGCTAACACAAACCAGCGCGTGCGAGGAGAAATGGCTTTGGTGATTCCAAGTGTCAGGCATCGCGTCCAAGAAGCTTCTGCTCGTCGGAAGATGCAGAAAGGATGAATAATGCTCGTCGTTGATGAGCCCCACCTGCAACATGAAGGAGATTGTGATGGAATCCGACATGTAAAGTGATGTGCAGAGCTCCAACCGGCCAGCAAGTCTGAAAGTACCCTAATGGCGAGGACAGAACAAAAGCGATGCAAGTTGCAGTCGCAGCTCGGTGGAGGCTTTGTTCCGCTGGAGTACTGCACGCACTGTACAGCTCCACTGACTGGGTCAATCAATAATCTCTTATTCGGAGCGATACCGTCAAACGTGAGCGCCTCCGATCTAATCGCTGGGAATTCTCCCCCTCCTCTTTGCCGCAGCTCACAGTGCACTGATCGCATGAGCTACAATCCCTTTCCCAGCAATGATCCAGTGATGCGAGGCGCACCCTAAGTGACGCTGACTCTGACGGCAGTGCCTCCACAGTGGGGCTTGGATAAATTACCGCCCACCCAAATGCGACGACGACCAGAGCAGAACAAAGAGGGTGGGATACTGCAGGCGAAGGCCTGGCATCACAAATGCCTCTTGCATGTTCGGAGAGGGAGCCATAGCCCCTCCGATGCCGCTGGCTTTCCTGCGAGTGGGCTGATCGCAGCCACAACTTTGGTAAGCAAGACGAAGCTGTGGACGTTGCCCTTTCCTGACTTCATCTGATGGTCCATCGTGGCCGGTCATCCCAGATCTCCCCTACTACTCATCCAATGCTGCAGCCTATTCTTAGACTGCCCATCGTCTGACCCTTTCCGTGTTTCTCTTGTCAATGGCTTGAACCAGACACTTCCTTCTCACTCCAGTGTTAGAGTCTCCACAACATTCTATGAAAAATCTAACGATCCCTTTTCCATTGAACACGGTCCAAAAAAAATGAAACAAGTAGATAATTAAAGCAAAAACTGAGAGGGGGGAGGGAATGCTTTTAATTGGGAACATCAATAAGGGTGCTGAGGTTTGCTGTAACTTGTGCTTGTTGAACTGAACTAGTTTTCTAATATTATCTACATGCATTAAAGTTTCCAAATAATGAATTGTTTTGCATGCAAGTTAGTTTTGGTTATTCACAAACCCAGATTGTCTATAACGAGAATGACAATCTGGACGGATATTTTGAGGTTGGTTATAAAAGTCAAATTTGGTAATGCATCCCAAAACTTGGTCATAAAGCCTCAAACCTCATGCTTACAAAGGTTCATGTTACCAGGCTTTCTTTATGATCCTTCATGCCAAAGAGCTTTGTGTCAGTTCCATCTTCAAACACTGCTTGGGGCAATCTGACCCATCCAATACTATAAAAATGTGTTAGAATTTGTTGCAACACATTTTGTCATCTTAATGTCATCATCGCTTTATCATATATTTACACACATAAAATTTTAAGACAGTGCATCCATGTCATAAGTTTTTTTTTTTTTTTTTTTTTTTTTATATCATGGTAGGCTTCAGAATGTTGATTGCATTCTTCTACATCCACCCAAAATTTGGCCCATTAACATTTTCATGAGACCAAAGATATTAGAGAAATGCTTCACAGTTTTGGAGTTTCTTCCACAAGCTATTTCTCCTTCTGGCCAAGCAATTTTTACCACACTTAAATTTCCCAGGAAGAGAGCCATTTGTGTTAGCTGTGACAGGACAGCCATGCTTCCAAACCTGGAGACTAGGGTTAGTGCTGCAAGCCCTGTCACTGGTCCCATCTGCCACACAAGCTTGTCTGCTGCTAGAAACAAACTTTCTTAAGCCACATAATTTTGGAATATAGAGTGTGTCTCATCAATGCAATCCACTAGGGAAGCCAACAGAAAGAGATTTCTTCAAATATTAGTCACCACAATTCAAATCTTACCAAACACATTTTATTTTTGTTTTCTTAAAGTCAACATGAAACTTGTGATATCTATCATTTTTTAAAGATGCGATTTATTTATTGGTTTAATTTTGGACTATGATCTTTTAAATTAAAAAAAGTAAATTAATCCTGATTCCAAAACCCCTTGATAATAAATCTTTGCATGTACAAGGTTTCAACTCAAACCCTAATTGCTATTTGCCCCCTCTCATCTGAGGAGGATGATTGGTTAAAATAGAAAATCCATTATCACATTTCAAACTTGGGCCTTGTCCCTTGCCTGCTGCCTTTCATCTACAGAATATGTTAATCAACAAGGCACACTGGTGCAATTGCAAAGGGTATATCATATCAAAATGCATTACATTGATCTTATCAAAGCACATTACATGGGTCCTCTTTCTCCAGTTTCCCTAAAAGCTGCCCCATAGGATGCCACCTCAGATTGCATGCTTTGGAGCAACTTTGTCCTCTCCATGCTAAGTTGCACATGTCAAATTTAGGGTTGGCAAAAGGGTGCACCTCATTCCATTGGGGCAAAGAGCAAAACCCATCAATCCTCTCAATCACTCAAGTCCCACTCTTATTTGTCCCCACCCCTTCTTCTATTGGGGTGTGGTAGGGGTGTGTGAGCACAGGGTTCATCCAGGATCACAAAACTGTCCCCATCTTTTTCTCCATTCTTATGTAGATATTCTTCACTGCTACCACCATCAAAAAAGAGAATATTTTTTTAAATTCTTTACAAACCCAAAAGGTTTTTGCTGTGAAGAAAGAATTCCATCTTTGAGCATCCAAAACGCCATGCCATCCCATGCCTGATGTCTTTTCCATTCATTGTCAAGTCTTTCATCACAAGTGGACCCAAACAATCTCTTGATGAAAGGGGGTCAGATACTTTGCCTGCTTGAATTGAGGCTCATGCATATTTTCTCCACAGGAACCCACAAACCCCAAATGGTTCATTTCCAGCAACAGGCATGCCCAGTTCTCTTGTCAATCAAAACCAATTCATTGTCCTCTTGTTGTGTATTTTTTTTCCTCTTTCTTTTTGACAAATGAACTTTACTGCTATCACCTCACAGGGCTTTCAAATTTGACTGGAAGCTTGTGCTTTCAAAAAAGGTAAAAAGTGCCCAAGTGGTAGGACGGTCAGCTGGAAAGGGATCAATACACGTGGCCAGGTTTTCCAAGTATAACACAAGATTCTTACAGATTTACCTTCTTCTTCTTCTTCGTTGTTGTTGTTGTTGTTGTTGTTGATGTTTTTTTTTTTCCAAATATCATCAAACAATAGAGTGCTGTAGGTTTGGATTTATCCCTGCTCACTTGAGAGGCGTAAAGTCCTCATCTTGCACTAAAATCTCGACAGATAAGGTGAAGGGAGGTTTGGAATTGTGGGTTGCCATGCTGGAGGCTTTCTTTGTCGCATCCCCTCTTGCTCGATTTCTGCCCTTTTGCCCGTTCTCGTGACGACTTGGAAAGGGTTTACAGCTTCCAGGAAGGGCTTTCACGACACCCTTGATGCATTCATCGTCCGATAGAAATCGTGGATGATCAAGCTCTCTATTCCACAACCACACTGAGGCGTGTAAGTGTGAAGCTTGGGTCAGACATGGGGGCAGTCATTGTATTGGCTGTGACGGTTTTTGGTCATTTCTTGGCCTCAGCAACGAGCTATGGGTGTCTGTTATGGTGCTTATCAGGCGTATGCTTTCGGTTCTGGAGCTTGTGGCTTCAAGCCTGTAGTCGAAGATTCAGGTAAGGACCCTGTGTATCCTTCGGTACTGGAAAGCCTAGACCTGATCGTACGTGCCTGTTTGTGTTTTCATTAATGTTCGTCTGGGGCTTGAGAGCAACGATCAAACAAATTCTTCTGCTGTACGCTTTGTAACCAGCACATAGGAAAGGGATGTTTTTGAGATTAGGGCTTCAGGCTGTATTAGGTTCAAGTGTCTGGCTATGGAGGATACCCCCCACTTGGGTTATCACGAATCTGTCTTCCATTACCCGAACTGACTGATTCCTGTTGCGCGCGAACAGGGTTGCATTCTATCTAGCGGCTTCCTTCCATGGACTTGTGCTGTCTCAATGTGTTGCATTTTTCCTGTCTTGGCTTAGTATGATGATAACATGATAACGCACGAACTCATAGGTTTAGAACACCTTGTTACATGGTCGACGCTGTTGATTTAGATGTGTTTGTACGTTCGCCGACGATTTACTTTCCTGTTGGAGATGTTTCATTATGTTGTGCCCCAACACACTGTTGAATGGAGCCGCGGTTTTCCACTCAAATTTTGGTTTTGATCTTTAGTGCTTTGTTGAATCCGCAATTACGTGGAGGAGTCTGTGAAGTTGTCTTTAACTTCACGGATGCCAAGTTTTCTTGTTTATTTCGGAGTAGAATGACGTTATGATGTTGTCAGAAACGCCTCTGTCATGGTGAATGTTTCGGTGTGTTGATTCAAATCGAGCCATTTTGAGGCGGGTTCATTTTTCTTTGAATCACCGTGATACTACCAGTATCCAGTCTGTAAAGCGTGCACAGAGTAGAAGTGAACAACTAACTTTCATGACTAAGTGAAACATTTCAGGGATGGATTATTGATTAGCGGACCATCCAATTTCTTCCCATCACCACTTTCATCAATAATACTTCTGTTCTAGAGTAAGCGAAGACACGTGATCTTCACTTCCCTATGATGATTCAAGATTGAGGATATTGAAGTGACACTTTGAACGTCAGAAGGTTTCCCAGCTCATAATTTCCTAACTGTATGTTTGCTTGTTGGTTTATGACTCATTGTCCCCCTTTCCTCTCCCCTTTTTATCATTTAGTTGTTAAAAGAGCTCTGTAATAATCTTGACACGAGGGTTTGCTCAAGTCCCAAACTTTAATCTCTACAATATCCCAGCTCCAATGCAATGAAGAGTCGAAATGTTGAAGGCTCTCAGCAATGTACACTTCTGGGTGTTTCTGGTTGGATTTGAATAAAATGACACACTAATATCGTAAGGCTACCCAAATACTTGTCAAGGTTTTTTTTTTTTTTGTTAATGATCGTTTTTCGTCATCTAGCTAAACCTCGATTTCAGTGTATGCTCAGACTTTTTATTGCAACATTTTTATATCAAGTCGAGCCCAGAAAACATCAGTCAGTTTTGACATTCATCAGCAACGTCAACAGACACCATGGCATTTTGAACGCCACTAATTCCCTGTTGGAGTTCGTCTCCCAAGGGTAGCTTCCGCCATGAGCCCCAGACCTACTTCATTTCTTCGTTTTCCCCGTCTCCTGGGTACCTTTTCTAGTTTCGACGATGTGGGGTCTAGATTACACCAATTCTAGGGTGTCCACCCGGTGGTCAAGTGGGGACCCTGATTCTGATTTTTGCTTCGGTGGAACACATGCAGCAGAAGACCTATCCTGACCAACTGGCCGACACTGTGGGGGCAAGGGTAAAGAACGTGCAGCATCTACGAAAGTTCGTTTCAGGGTTTGGCACCGCTTCGGTGACCAGGGCTAAGCTGGTTCGTGGTTCGGAAGCCAGATTGGCCCCAGAGCCATCAAGCCAGACCTGTGCGGTCAGGTATGGATCTTGGGACCGATGCGGCTGTGGCTGTCAGTGTGGGACCCATTCCCTGTTGTCACTTGTGGATTGGGTCTCTCAGCCTCTGCTTAAAGGATGTGATTGGGAAAGACCCCTCATCACGGCATTTTTAATTGTTGAGCCATTTTGGCACCCTTTCGAATTGGGATACCTTTTGAACTAAGTTTTAGGCCACAAAATGAACTCATCCCACTGGCTCACTAGCTCACTCACTCACTCACTCATTTCCCCCCTCTTGAAATAACTTGAAGTGTTAACCTTGACTAATAGGTGGTGAAAAGCATTGATGTCATTCAAACTCTGGTCCCTAATTCTTCTTGTAAGATGGGATTTGAAAGCACACACCACTTCCAAAAGTGCAACCTTTTGTTTATTTTCCAAAGTGGTTTTCAAAATTACCATCTTGTGCAGGATGGGAAAGCCATTGGATCTCTGTTTTAACTGGCAATAATACATGTTTCCTAGGGTAAATGGAGAAGTGGATTACAAAGCCTTTTGTTATTGTTGAATGAAGGCTGAGATTCACTGCCTTGTTGACTGTGTGCTTGAGGAATCCTGAACCTGGGTGCACATGCACAAAAAACATGGCCACCTGGGTTCCCCTCCACCCATTCATTTCTATCTATTTGTTTACTTATTCCAATTCTTATTGAGGGGAACAGCCTAGGGTTCCCATCAATGGGCTTTGAAGAAGACTGTGACTCATACTCTCTGACTTGTGTTCCCAATAACAGTATATGTGGAGACTCTGTGAGGGTTGCAGTGGCTGTAGGCTTCTCTTTTATTTTTTCTTTGTTTGTTTTTCCCATCTCTTTCATGTATCAAATATAAAAGTGAAGAACTCAGTTGTACATCACACAGGCTAGACCAGTATAGGTCATTGGAAACTGGGGGCACTGATGGTGTGCCTGGGTTCCAAAAATCTTAAACTGCCCATGTGCCGACAGCTTTGCCATACCATATTCATTTGTGTTGAAATATCCCTACACCTCTCCCCCCTCCATAAGTAGGAAAGAAGGAAGGCTGTACCAAAAAAAAAAAAAAAAAAAAAAAAAAACACACACATACACACCCACACAAATTGATACAATATTATTTAGAATTGAATAATCCTTGTTCTCTGAACACACTAAATTGCTCTAAAGGCATTTCATTTTTAGTTCCATTATTTTATTTTATTTATTATTCTTCTATAAATAACTGTGTCATATATGCATGGGTTTATCTGTGGGTGTGTATGTATCTGTGTATCTACATTTAAGTGAGAATATGAATGCCAATGCCAAAACATGAATGATATTTCACATGACTGTAACCCACCTCATTTATGATAAGAGCTTATCATGACCAAAAGGATGGCATGCTCTGAAAGCTCAAGGAAGCTTTTCTTCCAATTCAGCTTCTGGGACCATACAGCTTCCTTTCTTTTCTATTTCTTTCTTTATTTCTTCCTTTCTTTCAACGTCCCCACCACCATATAAGCAGGTGAGGGAGTGCTTGTTTCCAAAGGGTGTAGTCATGGGCACTGCAAAGTGTATCTATCTTCTCTGTGTGCCCCACAGAGCCTCCACACTAGCCAAATCCGGATGAATGAATGCACATAGGGATGAATACAAGTGTCCAAGGAGGGTCAGTTGGGACTGAAGGTTATATATACACACACATTTGGACTCTCTCTTTCTCTGTCTCTGACTGTGTGTCTGTCTGTTAGTCCAGGGTTCCACTTTCGAAGCAGGCCCAAACCTCAAACCCAAACCTAACCCCAACCCAGAAAGAGCGACGGGAAAGGTAGCCCACTTTGAAGGTGCCAGGCTCAAAAGGGGTTGGTCATGGAAAGCGTGGGCCCCATTGAGATGTGAAGCTGGAGAAGGGGCTGCAGTTCTCCCCCCTACCTCCTGACCTCATCTCCTCCACCCAGAAGTGGGTATGAAACTACTACCGTCCACTTTCTGTTTGGTGGATGAGAGGGTGTGTGTGCGTGTTTATTTTTATTTTTTATTTTTTTGGGTATAGCTTTGCGGTGAATGAGCTGGGGCTGCCCTCTTGAGCAGTGGGCTGAAGTTACGCCCTTCCCTCTACCCCACCTTCTGGCAGACTCAGGGCACCGGGGAGGGAAGCTGACAGGTCATCATCTCACCACTGCAATAAAGAGTTAACAACAACAAACCCTTTGTCTTGAAAGGGGGTGGAAATATCAATGGGTGAACAGCCACACTGGCTGCCTTGCTCATGGCACAATCCAGACATTGCAGCAGCAGCAGCATTATCTGACATAAGAGATAGAAACTAAGAAAATGAATTGCTGTGTGGTAAGAAAAATATTTATATCAAATACTATAAAATATGACTGAACGAAAGGAGAGGATAGTTTATTTATATATTTGTTTATTTTCCTTCATCTTCTTTTCTTTTTTCTTCTTACTGTGTGAAGGAGGAAGAAGCAGCAGAAGTAGAAGAAAAACTTTCTTATTCTGTTTGTTTTTGTGAGTACCTAAATCTTCTGTACCTTCTTCATGAAGCACTACCCACAGCTCAAGTACCCCAATAACCTGAAGCAGCAGTAGCACACACAATAATTATGGCCAACCATGGTTCCCTCCTCCTCTTTCCAACACCACCACCCTCCACACCCCACCCCAAGTGAACGCGAAAAAGACCCAATTCCCCTATTCTATCTAACTCATGATTGGTCAGGTGGCAACCCCTTTCAATCAGATGGATCCATATTCAAATGCTAAAATCCCACCACCATTACTGTACTAAAAATAAAAATTATTAAGACTAACTTCAGCTTCCCTCAATGAGAACCTCGCATACAGCAGGAGGCCTCTTGTAGTTTATAAAATTCTACCCTAGAGGAGAGGGATTTGGGTTTTTGAAATGATTATTATTAATGATTGTGCCATGAGCGGTCCCTTCCAAGGCACAGGAAGGATAAAATAGAAAGCCCATGAAGCGTGGTTGCGTTAATATTATTATTTATTGTTGTTTTACTCTAATTTCCCATGTGGAATGGAGGAGAAAAGGGCCGTGAAGGTGGTGGTAGTTTTGTTGAAGAGCAGTGCTGGCGGGCCCTCATGGTTTTCATGAGATTCATGCCTGTTGTTGGAGCCGGAGGCTTTGGCGCCAGGGCTAGGTCTGGGAGAGACAGGAGGATCGAAGCGAGAGGAGTGGCGCCAATGAATGAGAGACGTATTTCGTCGCCGCTCATGGACTTTTCTTTAGTCTTGGTTGCGACCTGTGCTGTCCCCCCGTCTCCGTCTCCCCCTCCCCCTACCTCTCTCTGTTTCTCATTCCAGGCAGGGCAAATGCCTACAGACCTACCGGGCTTCTCGGCACTCAGTCGCAGACCTCACGAGAAGTGACGACGGGGCAATGACTCACCAACGGCAGGCCGATTGGGGGCAAAACCTACTATTCGCAGTAATTTTATGAGCTTGTCCCACCACCACGCAGCTATCCTGTGGTGCAGAAAGTTACCTACCTGCTTAGTCTGGGTGAAAATGGAATTATGATGCCATGGCAGTGGCCCCCCTATTGACGCCCAATAGGAGAGGGGATCAAGGTGGGTGCGGGCGTACCTAGCTTGAGTATAGCCGGTTCGGCTCCGTAGCAAAAGCGCTGGGAGGTGTGGGTGGTGCGCTGTGTTGTTGGCTGTAGAGGGTTGAGCATGGTCATTGTTCCAAGCGCAATGCTTGTTGTTGTTGTTGTTGTTGCTGCTGCTGTTGTGGTGGTGGTGTTCGTCGTCCCCTCGCTGGCATAGAATCAGAGAACGGGAAAGGAAGGACTTCTTGTAGTTGTCGACGTAAGAGGCTCCCACCTTTTGTTTGATGGTGGGAATGGGAATAGAGTCTGGAAAGTGTGGCGAGGTTTGTTGTCGTTGTTCGTGGCGCAGTTTCTCTTCTGTTTACGTTGTCTTTCACTCTCGGTCCCTGCAGGTCTTTCGTTTTGTTCAGCCGGGGAGAGAAGCTCGGCGAAGAGGGAGGAATAGAGGTGAAGGAGAGTAGTATGGAAAGAGCAGGACTACGTAGATTGCAGAAAACAGAGCGAGGAGTCGCTTCTGAGAAATGTCCATTCTGGGAAGAGAGTGGTGAGAAAGGGAGGACGGATTGATTTTTAGGATGGAAGTCGCGCGGGGAGCAGCTCCGATGAGGCCTGGTGTCTGCTCGTCCTGGTTGCGGTCTGGGGAAGATGGTGTTAGAATTGAGAGGATGTTCTGCTCCCGTGACGTGGCCGCGGGAATTCGCCGGTAGTTTTCGGGATGATGTGGTAGTGGCGCTTGTGCTCTGTTTGTTTCCTCTTCTTGTAGGTCCTTTTCTTTCCTTGGAAGGAGGAGATTCCTGGGCGGGCAGTAGTGTTGGCCGATGGGAAGTGTTGTGGTTGGTGACATTGGTGTGTGATTTCTCTGCTTGCCCGGCGCCTTTCGCTTGACCTCAAGTTGTTTTTGGTTTACTTTTCCCCGTCTTTGGGGTTTGAAGCAATATTCCGTGGAAGCTGTTGTCCGTGCGGCGAGAAGAGAAGTTATTGGATGCCATGGTTGTATGCTTGTCCTGGTGATCTTCAACGTGCTTATTACTACCTTTCTTGTCAGTTATTCATTCCCAAATTTTTATCCCCGCTGCCTTCAATTCTGCGACGCATCCAGCAAGCTTAGAGAATTTGCAGCGACGTCGGAACTCTTATTTTGAAGTATCAGCTGCTGTTGTGGGGGTGTCGTGGTGCCCGGAGATCAATCTTAGGGGCCGTTCGGGGCAGGCAAATCTCTACTGTGGTCCAGGCCTGTGACGCGTCGGGAGTTTATTTTGGCCCGCTCTGTTAGCGAAGCCGCAGGGTTAAGGGGTTACCGAAGGAGGAACCGAAGCTGAAGCGCATTCCTCTGCATCCCTTATGGAGCGCGGCCGGGAGGGTCGGCGTGGGAGCGGTGGGGGTGGTATTGTTGCTCGGCGGCCACGCACCGGTTTTAAAGACGTTGCAGGTCTGATCCCGTCGGGCTCTCTTCTCTTCATGTCTTCGTGTCTAAAATCCCGATCTTGTTACCCATCTCTTCCCTTCTTCCCCTGTACATCTTGACTCGAAGACGTCCCTCCTTGCGTTTTCCCCAGCGGAGCACTGGCGGTTGGTTTTTGGAGCAGCCTTGTGTCAGCACTTCCAGATTCTGAATCGTTCTCTCGTCATGTCCACACAACTAATCAGGTGCCTCTTATAAGATTACCTTTGCGTGCCGTAGAATAACCATAGGAGGTGTCTGCGCACTAGGGCTGTTGGCGGGGGGGGGATCGTGAGGATCATATACCCGTGCTTATTTCAATTGATAAGACAGGTCTAGGGTTGAGTTTGACTGCGGCGGTGCCCGGCGGTTATGACTCTCCACAGCGTTGATAGTTTCCGATGTTGGAGGAATCTCCTCGTTCAGTTGTGAGGGGTGGTTTTTATGGAAGAGCTTGTGCACAGTGGATTGCGGCATACAGTTATGGGAAGCATGTGCAACAAAAGAATCAGGAGATATAGAGGGATGAGTGAGAGTCGTCGCGGTCAATTCTGGACACAGATTGCTTGAATGCGGCAAGCTGAGTAGTAAGGATCGCCTGTGACCCTCGCGAGTACAGTAACCTGGAGCGAATGTGAGGACTAGTAGAGGATGGATAGTTGAAATAACGCACACAGGCAGCTTTGGTAGGTTCTGATTCTATTTCTCTCGGGTACAACAGGAGAGTAAGCGAATTCTTGAAGTCTGCGTTGATTAAATAAATGTAAATGCTGACCGAGAGCGTGAGGTTCAGTATAATGATGGGACTTGTAACTCGCTTTGCGTCTTTTCAGATATTTTGCTTGCCGCCTTTTATTTTAAGTAGTGGCTCTCGGTGTCTCCCTGGCTAGATTTAACAGAATTGAGTAGACTAGCCAGAGTTTAATGGATTAGCGAAACAGTTTTAGGACAGACATATTCTTCAGCTCCTGTCTCGCTCAGACGCGGAGCTAACGTTCTAGTTGTCTGAGATTCCAGGTAATGTCTCCATTATTATTAGAGTCACCTGCATCGATCGACTTTCAGATGTCTCTTGCGACCTTCATCTTTACTCGCAAGAAAGTGGAGATTGAGAGTTCGAAACTTGGAGAGAGACTTGCAGTGAATGTCGTCACTCAGTAGCCATTCACTTTCATTTCCGTGACTGAACAGTTTATAGTTTACTCATTACGCTCTGTACGATCTTGCAGTGTAGATCATTTCACATTACCAAGGTACTACTAAATCGGAGTCATACCGTGGTCAAGGTCCTACCCAACGTTACGCAAATGCAGTCTTTTTGACTTGCAGAATCTTGTTCATTTTTCTGATCCCATGCAAGTCCCAACTTTTTTTTTGTTCCGTCGAACAATGCACGTCCTTATGCATCACTAACCTGCATTTTCGATTCGTTCTAAGTGGCTAAGTGGCAACATAGTTGAGTCGCTCTATGGCTTTTAATTCAAATCAGCTCCAGTAATCCTGTTCCAATGTCCATCCTTTTACAATTGCCATCCGAAACAACACATGTTTTCACAATCTGCGATCTAGATTTCCTGGGATTGCCGTATCACCAATCCAGCAGCTGAGAGTTCTGGATACCCGGTTCGCTTCATTTATAGGCACTGTGGAATGGCCCTGATTGTAGTAGTCGAGACACGTATTTTTTTGGAGGGGCGCAGGATGCTATGGTGTGTAGCATTTAGCCGTGGAGGTTGTGGAGAGTGGAGAGTGAAGAGTGGAGAGTGAAGAGTGAAGCGTGAAGCGGGTAGAGGTGGTGAAGTGCGTGGTGACAGGGTTGGGTATTGCGTATTGTGTGTGGTGCGCAGGCGGCGACGATGGCGACGACATGATGGACGATGCACACAATTCTCGGTTACGAGAGAGGTCGAAGAAAGACGGAAGCGGGGTGACGTCGAGTCACGGAGCGGCGACGAGCATTGTAGGAGGTAGCAGCAGGAACAAAAGGAAGCGACCGAGTTCGCAAGAGAAGGTGGTGCATGGTCGGAGCAGCCCGGCGGAGGAGGTGGAAGAGACGACGGAAGATACAGAGATGGGTGATCGGAGGACGACGACGATCATCCGCCACCCATA